TTTAAAATTGTCTTATGCTAGTTTTTTCCATTTTATCGCCGATTTTGGCTACCCATGAATTGAGAAATAGCTGATGGTTGATTCATGGGAATCGGGAAATAGTTTTATCTTTTATGTGACCAACATTCTTCTGTTGGAAGTTTCTTCCCCAGGAATTGTTTTATCCACCTTACTCTGTAAGTTGTTTTCTGATTCCTCAAGGAAAGATATTTCCACTTCCCCTGGAAGTTTCTTCTGACTTCGCTCGAAAAGTACTTCCGTCTTCTCCCGTCTTCTCCCGTCTTCTCCTGCCAGTGCAAACTTTCCCATGACGATTCTAGTGATTTTCACCGGAATTTTCGTTCGACTCCCCCAGAACTGTCCCGAAAACCCTCTGGCTTCCCCGGAGGAAGTTTCTGACTTTCTCCAGAAGTTTCTTCCAAACTACCACAGGAAGTTTCTTCCGTCTTCTACAAAAAGTTTCTTTAAGCTTCTACCTGAAGTATCTATCGAATTCTCCCAGAAGTTTCGTTTGTCTTCCTTCCTGAAGTTTTTCTGTGAGCATCCTTCGGAGTTTTTATTACTACTATTGGAAAGTTTTTCCAAGCTTCTTCTAGCTTGTCCTGAAAATGGCTAATTCTTCCGGAAGTTTTTTATATGTGTCTCAAATTTTTTTCTAGGAAGTTCCTCGGATGTTTTTCAGATTTTTCTAACATCTTTCTTCAAACCCACTCCAAAATAACGCCTTTCTTCTTTTTCGGCTTCCTTCAGAAGAAGCTAATTCAAACATTCCCTGGAATTTCTGCCAAATTTCCTGCAAAGACCGTTCTTAGTCCAAAAGTTTAAATTGAGCGTCTTGAGCGCTATATGACGAATCGGAAAAAAAAACTCGACCTTCGCCAATTTGCATGATACTATGTATAATTGTTTGTCATGGGCAGTAAACAATTGACAAACTTCGTAATATTGAAAGCTTTCTAAGTATAAGACGTCAAAAAATTCCTAGGAAAATTTTCAACTGTAAACATTTTCAAAGACTAGAAATTTGTAGAAGCTCGAGCGCTCGGTAGCTTAGTATTTGTTCGAAAATCGAGAAAAAAATCATGTCGCAGAATGATGCCTTGAGTTCTTTTCTAAGTCCATTACAGCGTACCGCATTTTTTTCCGAACTTGTATTCTGAAAATAAAAACAAAATCATTTCCAAATTTTAGAAAGAAACTAATTCTAAGATCATACAATGATTGCTATGTTTCAAAAGCATTTAAATGTTTTTAGGACTGTGAAATTTCATTACATTTAGAGTTGGTTGGAAATGCTGTCTAACATGAAGCTTTAGTGTGATAATTTATTAGCTAGAGAATGATCTTAGAAGAGCGTACACACTAAGATTATTTTACCGAAATCTGTGAAATTTTTATCGAAATCTCGACAGCTGAACAGTTCGGTGATTTTTCACAGATTTTCTGTGAAAAATTACAGGAAAACTGTGAAAAATCACAGAACTGTTAACCGAACGTTCAGAGAACGTTGAGATTTCGGTAAAATAATCTTAGTGTGTAGGTGGATAGTTCCGTTTAGAGTATGGCAGTATGAAAATTGAATAGAAGTTGAAAATGAGCGAAGGGCCATTAATGCGACAGTACAAAGTCACACGCACACCTTTTGCCTAACCCGTACGATGTACGCGGAGATTTGAAGTATGTCTTCAAATCTTCAGGCAAAAAGTATGCGCCCGCCTTTGCTCATTACTGTCTGCGTCTGTGGAATAGTTCTAGCGACGTTTCATTCCAACCAACTCTGAAAATCGTAAACTTCGCGTATGAAGTAATATAAAAAAACACTTTGAATGAACAACTTAAGGCGGGAGTAGCCGTCAACAATGCTGATGATGGTACAGCACGCAAAAACCACCCTACTGCTTTCTCTCTGAGATGACCACGTTGGTCATGACGAGACGAGCAACACAATAGTTGGGTAAAGAAGAATTGCATTATAACACACCATCGACTGGAAATGCTCTCGGCAACGTGGGGCTTTAGGTAGTGATGAAACATTGCTAGAACTATTCCACAGTAAACCAGCCGGCGCCGGTAGTGTAGTGGTAAGCGTGACCTCAAATCAATGTGTCTGGGTTCAATCCCAGCCGAGGTCAGTGGGATTTTTCTGAGGCATAAAAAACTCTGGTAACGTCTTCCTTCGGAAGGGAAGGTTGGTCCCGGCCCATGTGTGTTGAATGGGTGCTATATCCTACGCAGGTGTTGAAGCTGCCTCCCTGCACATTCGATTGTCGTCAATGGATGGCAATCGATGACCGACTTTAAATCAAGGAATGGAATGAATGAATTAATAGAACGCTACCACAACGCATCGCTTGTTGAGCAGAAAAACGTAGCACTTTTTGATTCACCGAATTGTTTGCACTTCCCCTTCTGTGTTCTGTGGGTATCTTCTAGCTTCCGTTTTATCGAGGAAACTTTTTCAGCTTCCACTGGAATTTTCTTTTATATTCTCCTAGAAGTAGTTTTCTACTTCCTCTGAAAGTGTCTCCAGACTTACCCGAAGGTTTATTCCAACTTATACTTGAAGGTTCTTCCGAGCTTCTACTGACTTTCCCGGTAAATGTCTTCCAACTTCCCGGGAAGTTGCAACCGACTTTTCACGAAAGTTTCTCCACTTCCCCCAAAAGTTCCTTACGGCTTCTTCTGAAACAGTCTTCCAAATCCCGCAAAAAGTCTTTCTGGATTTTGTTGGAAGTGTCTTCCAACTGCCTCTGGAAGTTCGTCCAGACTTTCCTTGGAAGTTTTCTTTCAACCTACCCTCGAATCAGTTGCACAATGAAGAGAATCAGTAAAACTTTGTGTTTCTCTGCAGTTTGCTTTAAATTATAGTGAAATATTTCCATATATTGGGTTTTGAAAGTTTGTGCACAGGTAAAAAGTGAGGCTACGCGACGCCACTGTAAAGATTCGTAGACAAACTTTCTTATATATTGAGTTTTTATTGAAGTTTTGAACCTGGCAACTTGTTGGTGATCCACATCATCCTTTTCATTAGATAAACTTCATAAAAACGTTACAGTTGGTTGTATTTTTTTTCTAATTCGTTTACCAAACATGTAACATTCTTTTACAGTTTAGTTTAAAAGATGTATCGAGTCTGTTATAAATTACAGCATGTCTATTAAATTCAAGTATATAAAGTTAATGTTTGTATTTGAATCGATTTCGACTAATGCATTTGGCACAAAAAGTATTCTAATAAGTATTACCATTACCATTACCATATTACCAAGTATTACTAATTGAGTACTTGGCACTAAGGAGGTCTACAGTAGTTATGACAAAATATGCATATCTGTTGAAAAATTAACAATTTTAACCAAGATGACCAGTAAACTGCAAATTCAAGGACATTTGAAACACCGGGATAAATACTGGGAAATGCCTTCAATTTCGATAAAAAAAAATCGGGGGAATATACCTCCTATCTCCAAAAATAAATTCTAAACCTAGGAAACTTTTCAAGGGTATTTGTCTGTGCTAAATTTTCAGAAGTCTATGAAGAATTATCAAGAACTTTAAAAAATCAAAGGACATTTTAAGACAATTTTAAATTAATTTTTGGAATGACACCATGTAAAATTAAGTGCTCTGAGGGTCGATTTCTTCACCTCGGCTGAAATCTTAAATCAGGTTTATCCATATAGTTAAACCTGGTTTTAAGCTTAAGCGGAGGTGAAAACCCCAGCCCCGAGCCTGACACATACGGGCGTTGCTTTAGATTATTGTTTAAATTATTACAGATGCAAAATTCAGCTCCGACACAATTCTGGAAATAATTCCAAAATAATTGAGAGAATTCTATGATTGCTATTTGCTGGCCATCATGTATAACGTAATCAAAAGGAAATTATTCAAATCACTTCAAGTGCTCTTCATAGGAGATTCCGTTGAGAGTTTCGATATAATTAGAGGAATTGATGTAATGTGATTATAAAGTTTCAAGACAAAAACAGTTTATTCCAATATTAAACCTAATTTGAGTTTCTGAGTCATCATATAAATGACACTATTGGTTACTTATTTATTATTTAAAAGTCACTATTTGGTCACTATTTCCGTAATTTAAGTCACTAAAGTCACTACTATTATATCGCATCAGCACTACCAGCCCTGCATTCGAAGTAATGACGTTCAGTGAAGTAAAATTAGTGGTAACTAGTTGTGACTATTGAAAATCTGAATGAATTTAGGATAAACCCCTACGCAGGGTTGGTATGCACACATTTTCGCACAAATTTGCGCATTTCTTGTAAGAAACTTCTGTAGAGGTTTCAATAAACCCTTACTTACATTTTATGTATGTATTTACATTTTGTTTTATGTGATTTATTCTGTGAATCTCAGACTTAAATTAAATGTTCACCTAGGTCTCTAGAGGTCTCTAGATGCGAACCTAGCGTTCTAGTTTTCCGGTACTCGTGGAAACAAGGCATATAAAAATCCTTGACGACCGAGTTTCTATTTCGAGTTCGTTCAAATTCTAAAGGAATGTTTTTGTCGCTTGAGTCGAGTTTTATAAGACTGGTCAGATGAATTTACACGTCACTTGGAAGGAAGAGTACACTACACTGCCATTGGTTTCGGTTGGTTGTATTGGCCGTTCACTCATGTATGGAATCTCAAACTCCTTGTACAGGAACGCACACTTGTACTTTATAACTGTATGCTTGTTATCCGTTATCTGTGGATGTTCAATGTCTTCTGCTGCCCTCTAATATCACTGTTTGCTTCTTACCTATTGTTTCCTTGTCAACCTATTCACTTCCAATCGATGTAAATCTAACACTTTTTACAATATGCTTTTCTTTTTGCTTTTTTCCCCAATCATGCATCATCACGTTGTCGTTATTTGTAAATCATTTACGAACCCAACTGCATCATCACACACGCCATCACATCACAAAAAAAAATCCAAAAACATCTACCCTACCCCAACTCGTGGTGGAAAACCGCAACAGACAACAACGAGTTGGAATCGGAATACTTTTCCGAGCAATTGGCAGCGGAATCGCTGCCCCATTACCAACCTCCTCCCCCACCACCGGTGGTAGCACCCGTGTCGCACTCACTATCACAGGCGTCCATGACCGGGTCGTCATCGTCGCTGTCGTCATCGATTGGTCCTAACGTAACTGCCGCTACCAATCCGACGGCAGCCGTGTCCCAACAGGCTCAAATAACCCCGACTTCGACCCTGACGAAGCACAATCTGAGCAATTTGAACCAGAATCAAAACAACTATCAATCATCACAAGCATACCAAGCGACCAACAACAACTACAGACCGCAGGCCTATCAGCAGCAGGCTCCTCCTCCGCAACAGCAGCAGCAACAACAGCAGCAGGCCAACCATTATCATCACAATAGCAATAGTAGCAGCAATGGTAGCGACGGAGTGCGTCAAACTGTGCTGCAAAGCTCGCAAACTCCGTCGGGAAGCGTCGTCCAAAATCAAAAGTACTACGACCCTTATGACAACTACGCAAGACCAAATCCGAATGCGGCAATGGTAAACAATAATAACAACTACAACAGTCATTACCATCATAGCCAGCAGGCCGGCGTTGGTGGAGGTGGCGGTGGTAGTAATGAAGGAAGCAATGGTGCTGCACACAATTATCACCACTTGCAACAGCAACAGCGGCAGCAGCAACAACATCAACATCACCATGGTCAGCATCATCCACAGGCAGATGCTGTCTATGGGCATCCCCAGCAGCAACGATACAATGGTCAACAGTACGCACAACAGCAGCAGTACCAATTCAACAATGGTAACGTCAACAACGGTGCCGGAATCGGCAAGATTGCCGACTACGATCCACTAACCGATGGTCCCAGAAACATCCCGCAACCGAGCCGGCAGAGCGCGACCCTGATCTACAGCTCCGGAAACTGTAAGTAGAATACCAATTTTGCACTCATACCTCATACTCAATTTGATTTAAATGTTGTTGATGGTAAATCAATCTTGTCTTGACATTCACTTTTGTTCGGGAAAGTTTAGATATTGGTTTACAGTTCTTGATGTTGAATGTAAGTCCCTAGCACCTTTCAGAAGTCTCATATGTGCTATGTGTTTCGTTCTATTTTTGTTCATTTTATGATTATCATTTGTCTTTGATTTATATCAAACTCGCTTGAACCTTGTTGTAATTAATGTTATTGTTTAAATCTTCAGGATCTTGGATCCTTCGAGTATATCATCATTATTGTATTAAAGTAATTCACAATCATAAAACATGCAGATAGTACGTTCCTTTTGTAATTTTCTTCGAAATGTTCACTAGTTCATGTAGTTTTTTTTTCATTGTCAATATATTGCCTTGCTGCACTGATGCAATTCCTGACATTTAGTCTCTAAATCTCTTAAAGCTCCCTCACAGGTTAAAATATTTTGTATTTTTCACTCAAAATTATTGCATGTTTATCAAATTACACGTTCAAAACCAAGTTATTCAATCCATAAAAGCAGAATTTACGATTGTGCTACATTAACACGAATGTCCTGTTCACGAATACAATGTGGGGTTCATGAATGTGAGAGGAAAGAGTGGTTATCAACAGAAAGTAGATCCTTATTCGGAGTAGTAACCATTCGAGGTAATGACGTTCAGTGAAGTAAAATTAGGGTAACTAGGCATGACTATTGAAAATCTGAACGAATTTAGGATAAACCCCTACGTATGCACAAATTGACCACTTTGTCAAGCAGTTTTGGCGTGACTTTCTACCAGCGATTTCACAAAGCTGGACCAAATAATTTCTATTTTTTTATGAAACGCACAAATTTTGGCTACTTTTCTCGAGGTTCTAGAAGAAAAAATCTCAAAATAATGTTTTATTTCAAAGTTCGAGTGGTAGTAAACGTCATTTTAAGTGCTCGAATAAAGAGGTTAATTGCGCATTTGACAGATTCCACGCAAACTCGACTATGAGTTTCTCAGCACCCTCTTAGATTTCAAGGATAGTTTGTGGGTGTAAAGATATTTTCTACTTAAGAAACTTTGCATACTGTAAAAATGTTTTCAAGGATGATTTGTAGAAAACTGTATGAGCTGTATCAACAAAATATAAAAAAAATATTACTACACTGAAAAAACATATACTTATAAACTCAATTGATTTCATTCAGTGCAAATACGAAAAAGTGTTGATTATTTTTTTTTTCCTTTAAAAGTTCCCATCTTGGGATGTATGGACGACTTGTAGATAAATGGTGTGTCTTTCCGTAGATTTTTTTTTGATTTTTTTAAGTGGGGTTTTTGAAAAAGAATTTTGTAGGACCTTTTAATTTTGAGGTACATTTTTATGTAGAAAATATTCGAAAATAAGTTCGACTCTGTCCAAATGGTGATCAAGATTTTTTCAGTTCCAAGACGGACAGAATGTATCCAAATAACATTGAAAACTTTATCAGCTTTCTTCAATATCAAATCATGGTCATTTGATAAAACCAAAATTGATACTTTGGTAGTAACCTAACCATTGTGAGGAACAACATCAATATCATCAGTTCTGTCAGACTAACTGTCAAGCATTGTAATAACATTGTAGGTTTTATCGAGGTTTTAAAGCATTCTTCAAGTCTGAATCATGGTCTACTGAACTCTTATAAAACCAGAATTGTTACTTGGGGCTAGCTCCTGCCGTTTTGTAAAATTAACTATTTTTAAAATCATCGTCTTCAAAACCAAACCCCCCAATTGTTTAATGAAGTTGGCGCTTCTGCCCTTGCTCCACATGTTATCATGACAGATGCGGTCGAAAGCTATCCCGTAGTCAATGAATACCAAATACAGGGACTCTTGGAATTCGTTCCCCCGCTCCAGGATGATACGAAGCGTGGTCCTTGAAAGATCTTCCGACACGGAATCCTGCGTGCTGCTCCGTCGGAGACTCGTGTGGATCTTCTCCTGTATCTGATACAGGATAGCTTTGCTGGTCACTTCCAAGTTCAGCTGAGAAGTATTTTATAAAGGTGAATCATTTAAGTCACTGCACAGGTTTTCGGATTAAGAATCAAGCCAAAAAATAGGATCAAAATGCGTACAAATATAATTTTGATAAATAAATGCAATGAAGTAATGAAGTAATGTGCAATCCAAGCCTTTGGGGAATTTTCCTTATTATAGAGTTGTATAGATTTTTCTCCTTTACTTTACTTTAATCTTTGGTTATTATTAGTTAGGTAGGTTCCGATTCTACACGTTGTAGTTTCGTTTTTAGAGCTGTGATCCTGATATTTTTACCTAGGGGATAAGTACTTAAGAGGATTATATTTTGATAAGTCTTTAGTTGGAATGACACTGATGAGGACTGCACATTGTAGTCGAAATACGTATCGGTCATAGATACCAAAATTAATTAAGTGTAATTAAATAAACCTTTTTTACTTGATTACCTCTCACCCCAGCAGGCCTGGGTTCGATCCCAGTCAGCGCCGCCGGGATGTTCTGAGGCATAACATCTCTGATCACGGAAGTAATGCCGTTGGTCCCCGGTTCATGAGTTAATGGGTCGATAGGCAGGGTCCAGGTGTGGGAGCTGCCTCCCTGGTGTAGGTAGCATTGGTGTTCAGCACGGAAAACAAGATCGACGAAAAACAAATCAGGGGAAAAACCTTTTTTTTTAATCAATGTAGGGGAAATGGATGTAATGTCGGCCTAAATGCCTTTAATTTTGACCCATACATAAATTCTGCAATCGATTAAATTTCAAAAGCGACCAAAATATCCATTAGTACCGTCCCAATAACGCGTTCATCTAGATAAAATTGATAAATATCAGATTTTTAGTGATGGGCCCAATCTTAGATCGATAGGCCTACATTAGAGCCATTCCCCCTAATTTGATTGACCTCCGGCTAAAAATCACTCAGATAAAGCTTTTTTTAAACTAGGGCTTTAAAATAAATGATAAACACTTAACTTTCCAATAGATCTTTGTGACTTGAATTGGAAAAATCACCTAAAATCCGCTTTGGGGTTTGTTTTCAATTTAGCCTTATTTTCTTAGCCAAAAACCAATTTGTTTTTGTAGCAAAACTATCTGGGTGCAGAAATATTGATCTAGGATGTACCAAGAACTTTAGAGAACGTTCAAAATATTCAGAGAAGTTTCAAAAGCTTCTGGGAAGTTTGAAAAACTTCAGGAAGTCTAGAACTTTAAAGGGTCACCCGAATTAGATCCGCATGCGTTGCGTTGACGTACATTTGACAGGTAGACAATATAGTAAAATGTCACTTTACCACAACGCATCAGATTAGGATCTAATGTGGGTGGCCCTTTAAAGTTCTAGACTTCCTGATGTCCTTCAAACTTCCCAGAAGCTTTTGAAACTTCTCTGAATATTTTGAACGGTCTCTTGAAGATTGGAGAACTTCATGACAGTTTCAATAACTTCAAGAACATTTTAGGAACTTTACAAGAACTTCAGAAAAAATCTGATAGGTTTAAAGATCTTCAGAAATCGAACAAAAAAAAAACAAATAGAAAGTTCTGATAACTTCAGGATAGTTCCTTGTACATCCGAAAAATTGTGTTACAATACGAAAGATAATAATACTTAGGAACATTTTGAGAATTTCAGGTTCGTTCAATTAATTTATAAAATGGCACAAACTTTACAGATGCTCATAGAAAAGTGTCCAGAAAACTTCAAGCAAGTTGAGAGTGCCATCAGGAAAATTGTGTGATCTTTAATGAAGTCCCGAGAATTTTAAGAAAATGTTGAAAACTTTTTATCAGTTCCATTATCATTAGAACATTTGTGGGAGCCTTCAAGAGGTTCTAAGAAATTCATGTAAATTCCAAGATTTGCAAGGAACTTCCAAAAACTTCAGTGGTCTATTTATGTAAATTTTGAGAACCTGAGGGCAACTTCATTGAATTCAAGAAACCGGTGAGAACCTAGAAGTTTAATAAACACTGAAAACATCCGGGGCTTTTAGAGAACTTAAGAAAAATTTCGGAAATTTCACTGAAGAAACATCGGGAAGTTTATAGATCTTCAAAATGGTTCATAAAAATTTTGGAAGAAGTTCCGAAGAATGAAAAAAAAAAATACCGAGGATTTCAGAGAATTTTAACAAACAGACTGCGGGATAATATCTGCAACATTTTGGGTATATCAGTTTCAACTTCAAGGTGGAAAATTCGGTAACTTTTTAGAAGTTCTTCAGGGATATCCAGAAAACTTTAGAGATATCCAGAAATCATCTTAGAAGTCTGCAGAACTTTAGGAGAATTGTGGAAACTATCAAGAAAGCTAGCTCTACAGATCTTCAGGAATACTTCGATATGTTAAGGGCAGTTCAAAAAACATCGGGGAAGTTTAAAGATCTGTAGTTTTTGGGTGAAGATAATAAGTGCTACTTTGATCTGTAAATTTTAAATTGTATAAATTTAGGACAGCACCACGAGCTTCAGTTAAATTTTCAGAAACTATATAAAGTTCCATGACTTTCATGGAAGTCCAGAGAACTGCAGTTTAGAGTTTTTCGAGCAGCTCTGATAATTAATTGCAGAAACTTTCAAAAAGTGCTGAAGAATTTTAGAATATTCCTAATATTTCAGAAATGTTCTAACAGTGCCTAGAAAAAGTTCCTTGAACATCAGAATTTTTTTTGAAACCAGTACTGTTAATTTTCATATCATTCGATTGAAGATGAACCTATAAAACGAATTCTCACATGACCATAATTTGAAAAGTCCCTTTCTCATTCGAAACTCATTGTCACTGTCTGTCAATTGAGTCAGTCACTATTATTTGCTATACGGCAGTGGAGTATGGAAGAAACCCACCATAATGATCCCGAACAGACAAGTCAACCCGATGTCGGATCAATGCAAGAGAAATTTAAGGTCGATGTCGACCCAATGTCGTGTTGTTGTCGGGTCAATTTTGGGCTTATGTCGGATCAACATCGGATTGGGGTTTGGCATGAGTCAGGTTGGTGTCGTGTTGGCATAGCTTTTTCGCCGGAATGTCGACCAGAGCTCCGGTTATGTGTAGGTTACACTCAATTGAATGATATCAAGCGTTTCTCAAATGAGAATGATCCATGCCTTCGTCAAATGACTAAGCAACTGATATCACCCATTCGAAGGGGGTCCCCGCTGATAGCGAATAGCTGCTTTTCTCGTTTTCATCAAACATGTTTAATTGATTTTGAGAATTTACAGCACTGGTTGGAACGTAAGAGAAGTTCCGAGAATATCTTGAAAATTATGGGGACTTCATGAAGGAACGAAAACGCCAGCCAAGTTAAAAGAAGCTCAGGGAATTTTTGGGATGTTAAAGAAAGTTGCATGAGTTTCAAGGAAGTTTGTATACAATACTTTCGGAAAATTGCGTGAGCCTTAGCGTAGACCGAAGAATTCCAAAAAAGTTCATTTAGCTTCAGGAATATTGCGTGAACTTTTAAAAAATTCTGAGAAATTTAAGGATGTCTACAGAATTTCATTAAGGATTAAACATCTTTTTAATGGTTCCATTAACTTCAGGGTAGCTCCGAAAACTTCAAGCAAAGTCTGGACTAACGAATTTTAAAAAATCTAGAAGAATTCGCAATTTTGCTTCGGCTTGGTTGTCATTGTCAACGTTATAATCCAGAGGATGAAATCTTCACCAGGGCTAGTTTTAGATTTTCTACGCTGATCGAAATACGGCCTAACTGTATGTCCCTTTGGACACATCGCCAAAGAAACAATTTTGGTTTTATCATAGTCTTGTAGACCATGATGTGGTCTTGAGGAATGCTTTAAAACCTTGCAATATTACTTATCAAATATCACCAATGCCCAAGATCACGCTTGATTTTCGTAGATAAAAATCAACAAGCATACAGTTGCGGTTGATTTTGCAAGCTGTGATATCGCAGCTCGGAATATCAAGCAAACGAAACTCACCAGCTGCAAATCTCAACAAACTGTGGTGAGATTGAGTTTAATGATTTTTGCTTAAACCCGAAGGCAACCGAAACTTCCATAACGGTTGGCAGCAGTCACTTCGTGTCTGCCATTGGTGAACAGTAAAAAGAGATAGTATGCTATACTTTCTCATTCTAAGAAAACGATGTGCAACGGAATGATTTTTGTGTCTAATCAACTATCCGCTTGATTTTTGCACGTTGTGAATAGTCTCGCAATATCAAAGGAGTTTGTTAAATTAATATCAAGCATAATTTTTTGTTCCAATATCACGCGTTATATTGAGAGCGTATGAGAGCGGAAAAATATAATTTGATTGATGATTTTGCCAACACTGCTTGGACGTAGTGTTTAGATTAGTATTTTTATGTTTTATTGCGAGCTGATTGCAGACAAGTTGTTCCTATACCCTACCCACTACGAAAAAGTCATGTAAATTTGGATGCCCTGAAACCGACACATACAAGCGGCCCGTTTGACATAAGATCAGTTAAAAGAAACGAGAAAATCAATTCAATCCAACGTTCTCTTCGTCGAGTGGCGAATGTTTCGGTTTAGAAACACATAGTTTTACATGAAATGTTTGTTTACGTTCCATGATTTACGTCCAATACGCATTACGTCTCGTGTAAAAGTAGTTTTAGTTACAGGGAACTAAATTGTATGTAAATTCCCAAATTACAATTATGGTGGCTCCTTAACCCGTTAATGCCCAAGTAGTTTTTGCTCTCCAGGCAATTCATGATTTTTCCAGGAGTAACCCAAGGGTTATTCTCACAATATTTGAAAACAAGTTGTTAAGGATATGCCAAGGATTATTCTAATGATATTGAAAACTTAATATAGGGGAAATGTATGTAATGTCGGCCTAAATGTCACTAATTTAGGCCCATACATAAATTCAGCAATTCACTAAATTTTGAATAGCGACCAAAACTATCCATTAGTACCGTCCCACTGACGCGTTCATCTAGATAAAATTGATAAATCTCAGATTTTTAACGATGGGCCCAATCTTAGATCCATAGGTCAACATTACAGACTTTTCCCCTACGTTCCCAATTTCTGTTAAGAGATGATAAAAGAAACAAACATGCTGATCTATAAATAGATCACTGGGCGTTAATGAGTTAAAGGGGCGCATGCATTTTAGTTGGTTGGACGCACATATGAAAAATCAGTCAGAAATCCGCTCTTAATTTACCATGGCAGCACTGGTCACTTCAGATAAGTCTACAGAACTTTACAAAACTGTGAATACTTTATAGAAATTCCAAAAACCTCAGATAAGCTAGGTCCAGAGATCTTAAGGGTAGTCCCAATAATTTCAGAAAGTCCAGCATTTCCGGGTAGTTTAAAGACCTGTAATTCTATAAGAGTTAGTTTCGATTAATTCTGGACAGCTTAATAAAATACAGGCAAATTTCGAAAAACTTTGAGAGTTCTGGAAATTTCAGGAAAGTCCAGACAAGTCCTGAGAAATTTAGAAAACTTCAGTCAAATGTTGGGAAGTTTACAGAAGTCCAGAAATGTTCAGGGAAAATCTTCAGGTGAAGAATTTCATGAGAATTATGCGAACTTCAGAGTAGCTTCGCGAACATCAGAAATGGTCAATGAACCTTAGTTCAGTTAAATTAACTTAACAGTTCTGAGATCCTCATCCATGCAGGATGATCAAAGAACTTCAGAGCAGTTCTATTAATTGATTGCTGGAACTTCCAAGAATTTCAAGGAATGCTCGAGAAATTTCAGGAAAATTGCGTACTCTAGTTGTGTGTGTGTACTTTCTTAATTATAATTATGGGCGCCCATTTGAAGGGCGTATGGATTCAAGGTGGGTATGCAAAATCAGTGAGTAACCAGCCCTACCATGATAGCACTGTGGTGCCTGCTCGACAACAAGGATTCGCATGTTTGTGACAGTGACAAAAGATTGTCTACGGCAAAGTTAGATTTTTTAAATATCAAAAAATATATACCTTTCAGTTAGCGAACACTATCCGGCGCCGGTGGTGTAGTGGTAAACGTGACTCACCCAAATGGGTCTGGGTTCATTCCCAGCCGAGGTCGGTGGGATTTTTCTGAGGCATAAAAATCTCTGGACAGGACACGTCTTCCTTCGGTAAAGCGAAGTAAAGCTGTTAGTCCCGGTTAGTTGTGTGTTGAATGGGTGCGATATCCTACGCAGGTGTGGAAGCTGCCTTCTTGCACATTTGATTGCCGTCAATGGATAGAAATAGATGCCCGTCGGTGATTGTGGCACGGATTGCGGAACAGAGACCGACATTAAATAAAGGAAAAAAAAAAGTTAGCGAACACCAAGTGCACACTCTCACACATGTTGCTATCTAATCTTATCTGTACCAGAATTCATTTACTACTTTTACATAAATTGATCCATATCAGGGGTCTTAGGATATGCTGAAACAAGCTTCAGAAAGCTCCATCTGCTGCAAAACAACCTTTTCCCTAGCATGAACGAGCGATAAACGAAACCTTAATCAATTCTCATAACTGTATCGAACCATTATCAGCTAATGTTCTCCTTGTCGGAAGCTTTACCACATGGTAAATAATTATTAATCGAGCAGCTGTTTGCTTGATAGCTGCTAAGGACTAGAACATCACAACAAATCCTTCCAGGTTGTTAATAGTTAAAGTAATGTATATGTTTTGCTCAGACACTTTCCTAAGAACATGCAGTTTAACGAAATCAAAATTTCAAGCCACAGCAATTAACTTAAGTGTCCACAGCAGGAATACCTGTATCTATAGTGTACCAAGAAGTAACACACAGCGTACAATTTTTACATTTTTCCTTTCCGTCCCATTATTCCAATGAATGATGACAGTGTCCCAGACAGATAGACAGACAGATATGCATCTCTTTTCATCTCCGATGAATGTCGCATCGCAACATTGGGTCGATGAGCCTATATGGAGGAAAATATATGTGTGTTTGCATGGCTTTTACCAAAACAACTCATGCTGTAATAAAAACTATAAGCACGTCTCGAATGTCGCAAAACAGGATGGGGCACATGTGCTTTCCTGGCAGTCATAAATTCAAACTTCTGCAATGATAAATTTTAGCAAATGGGACCCTTCAATGCGTATAGAAATCGCAGAAGTAGAACAGTATTGTGATTGAATGATTATGTCACATTTTGAATGTATGTGTTCATGTTTCAGAAAAAAAGCTAATACTTTGTTTTCAATTGATGGGTGATTTAATGTTTCTTGTTTTTTTTTTAGTAACTTCCAACAACAATCGACGAATCGGTTCCGTTAACGACATTGATCCGGTTAATGGATTATACGGTTCGGTTTCGGAAACCCAGCAGCACCAGCAGCAGCAAAATGTCATTTATCATCAGCAACTCCTACAGCAACAGCAGCAGCTGTATCAACAACAACAACAGCAGAGACAATCGCAGCTTCAACAACAACAACAAGCACAGCAGCAGCAGCAACAACAACAACAAGCACAGCAACAGCAACAACAACAACAACAACAAGCACAGCAACAGCAGCCGACGCAATACATTCAACCTCCTCAGCAATACGGAGCACCTACGTCGACTCCGGCCGCGAAACCGATGGGAAAAGTGGTAAGTGAAACTCGAATTTCTGAACAGTTTTTTTTTTATTTGTATACCATTGCTGGGAATCTCCCGAATGGAAAATCCTCCGGACTATTATCATGACTGAGCATTGGCTCACTAGTGGTACAATCCTTGGGACACAGTTCCCTCTTTATGCACACTCCATTGTGCTTCACGTAGCCAGTTTGGCAAAGACAGGTCGGAGGGCCTATGCAACCCGCTATACAAAGTACTCTGGAACAGTCCATGGTGCAAGTTGATTCGCAGCATGGTGTGCAATCGCTATACCTTCCGTACGGCCCGCAGGTTGGACATTGATCCGCTTTGATGCAACAGCCCTCGTGCCGTACGTAACCCGGAATGCAAACGCATGTCGGTTGATTGACCAGCTCAGCTCGACAGTCTTCAGTACAGTTCCTTCCGCAGGTTGGCTCACAGCATGGCGGCGTAGGTAGAAGCTCTTCGTTCGGTGGACAAGAACCTGAAATACGTGGCAAAATAATGTTCCCTAGGTCTTAAAAAAAATGGATTAAAACTTACACAAAGGTCGCTCTGTAGCTGGGCACTGCGAAGGGCAGATACATTCTCCTTCATGTCTAACGAATCCTGATTCGCACACACAAGACGGCACAAAGATGGGACTGTCTCCACAGTTCACTCTTGAGCAGTCGTTGTCACATGTAGGCTCGCAACACGGTAGAACTTCTCTCAACTCTTCATTGGGTTTGCATTGATCTGAAACAATTATCCATAGAGTAATATGTACATCCTGGATACAAACTTCGTAAAATACCGCAAGAAGACTCCTTCGGTGGGTTCTCGATTATAGAATATCCTGCCACCAACGGATGAACCAGTGGCAGAAACAGTATTAAGAGCCACATGGCTGTTCGTTCACTAAGCGTGTGCGCTTGATTGAAACAAACTTTTATAAGGTGACCGGAAGCAAACTGTTTTGCAGAAGTATGCCTAAAGTCACGCGTTACTTGAAGCGATAGAGCACGTTTCTCGATTGCAGCACTGCAGCAATTCAAATATCCTGAAAACTAGAACAAAGCAACGCATCTCAAGTAACCTTCCATATCTAGCCCCATACGAAAAAGAACGTGATCATATGGCAACAAAACGATTGATTGTGTTTGCAGTTGCATTCATAAAAGGCAGCACCAACCACATAGTGTCCAAATTTTGGAAGATAGACTTCCGTGATCTAAATAGTATATCATGGCAGACATAAAATGCTAACCATTCTCTTAAACTGTTCTTATAGGGGGGCATGGGGCAGTTTGGCAACCTTGAGAAATGACACCATCACTAACACGCAGAAAAATGGATTTTTGTTTCAGGGCCTAATGTATTTTGTTATTGATTCAAACATATTGTATCACTATTTCAACGAAACATATTTTTGAATCAACAAAATGGTTTTTAGAATCAACAAACAGATTATTGACTCTACAACCGGTTTGTTGATTCAAAAATATTTTTCTTTGGATTAACCGAATAATGTATTTGAATCAATACCAAAAATATATTAGGCCCTGAGCCAAAAATATATCCATTTGAATTTAAAATTCATTTCTCTGTGTGAATGATACCAAATACAGTGAAAAATTCGAATTTTCATTCAAATGGATAGGTCTAAGGTCCATATACATAATGAATACAAATAAAATGTAAACTCTTAACGCGTTTGAAAACATTAAACAAAAATGTTCGTTTTGTAACCGAAATAACAACCGTTGGGGTAAAATGAGCACCCGTTGTGGAATAATGCTAAGGCAGTTTTGACTAGAACTCCAAGGAAATTGTGCGAAGATTTCCAAGGTAATTGTGAGAAGTGAAATCCTAGGAGTGCTCTGAGAACAAATTTTTCCTATTCTAACGGATAGTCCAAATAAGTTCTGTCATGGATTTCAAGCAAGTTCTGATGAGGATTGCTATGAAATGCCATCTTAATTTCTTTATTTAATGTCGGTCTCTGTTCCGTCATCGAGCGTCAATTTCCGGTCTGCATTAATTGTCATCAATTGACAGCAATCGAATGCCAATGAGGCGGCTTCCACACCTGATAGATATTACCGGGACCAACGGCTCTATTTTCCTTTCAAAGGAAAACGAAACCAGTGATTTTTTTCGCCTCAGAAAAATGTCAATGGACACGGCTAGGATTGAACCAATAGACTGATGCAAAATTTGAAAAATTTTCGCTCCACAGTGCTTAAACGGTTCCAAATTGGGTCCGGCTTAGCCTCCCAAAATTTGAACTACTTTAGTTAGAAACTGACTTGGCACAAACCATTTCAAGTTTATATGGGAATTACTATGGGAAAACTTATGTTTTCGTTCATATCTCTCTAACAATTCACCATATCACTATGCTTTCAAAAATGATAGCAGTGGTTGTAGAAAATTTTATCACCTTTCAGCTTTGTTGAAAACCACTTTTCAATCAAATGTAAGGAACAAAAGTTATTATTGATTCAAGTCACTGATGTCTTATGATTATGCTCATTCAACTGTTCAGCAGGCAACATTGGTGTTTCTGGTGCGAAGAATAGAGCACAAATATCATGGCTACTATGTCACACTGCAAAATGTAGTGTTGCCCACAGAACCGCTGCTTGATCATGCCATAAGATTATCAATCTCTTAAACAATTAATATCATTTTAATTTGACATTTGGCTAAAAAATGATATTCCGCAAAGTTGTAGCTTAGTCAGTTTCTTACCAAATGAGTTTAAATTTTGGGAGGCTAATCAGGACCTGATTTGAAACCGTTTGAGCACTGTGGAGCGAAAATTTCAAATTTTCCATCAGTCTATTGAACTAAGCTGGGGTGAGAAATCAGTTATTACGCTTACCACTACACCACCGGCGCCGTACGTACGATGAGGATAGTTCCCAAATATTTATGGTTCCAAGGTAATTTTGAGGACACTTCCAAGTGAAATTCTTAAAAGAATTCTAAAGACATTCCGAAAATAATATCAAGGGAATCGAGGGAATTGTCAATTGATTCTGAGAACAGTTCATAGAGCTATTCCTAGGGAGTTCAAATTGAATTTATAGAAGAATACAGAGCAGATCTATAAGAGCAGAGTTTTATGAAATTTATGAAGTGAATTGCATAAGAACAAAATAAGGATACATGGGAATTTTAAAGTGGAGTCCAAGTGAACTTTAAATAGAATTATGGAAGGAATCTTCAGCGAATTCTTACGAGACTCATTGAAAATTTGAAGAGAATTTGATAGTGAAACCTAAGAATTGTGTGAAGTTTTGTGCAGATAATTTCTGGACTATTATAAATACAATTGCATTACCTTGAGAATCTGAAATTAAAAATTTCATATCAGAAAAAATCTGTAGTTCATTTTAGAGAAGTTCTGAAAAGAGATCTGTAAATGGGAATGATTGTAAAGAAATTCATGAGACCATTCCAAAGAACTCCTGTAAAGTTCTGAGCCAATTCAATTATCATGGAACTTAAAACAGAATAATTTCAAAGATTTCGGGCGCAAAAACAAAGATCCAGGATGTTTTCGACCCAATCGCATTCGGTTTTACGTTTAATTAAAATGTTTATCGCTCAACCGGGAAAATTTCCAAAATTCCCAGATTTAAACCAAAACAACGGGAAATTTCCATTCGGCATTCGCTAGTCACCATGGTAAAATCCGTGCTGAAAGTCGTCATTAAGGGTGATCCCATTTATACACTCTACACTCAATGCTACGTGAAAACATACGTAGATTTTTTCCATCGTACTTTTCACACAAGAGCTACGTGATTCTCATGTAGGGGCACTCATTTCATGAAACTTAACCGTCATAGGATTATCACATAGAAGTTACGTTATTTGGTCAGTGACATTCATTAGTATCAATATTATGACACTGTTTATACAAATATTTCCCTAATATGTAGATAAATCTTTACTGTATTAATAGTAATAATAGTAATATTCCTTTAATTTATTAAAATTTTCTAAATACACCTCATAAGGCATTTTTTATATTCGATACGGAGCACAAATCTGGACGATCATGGAGATGGGCCTACATGCTTTTTTCCCTTGAAGAAGAAACTGCTGGACAACTTGACATCATTCTGTTGAGTAAGATGAAACAGTCAGTTTGTTTGTGTCTAAGCCTGGGTTTAGACTAGGCAAGTCATTTGATCAACTCAGTTGAACTCAATTGGCTTGAAAAGTTGAGCCTGGTTCAACTTTTTTCAATTCAAGTGAGTATTGGTGAGCATGGTTTACACGTTCAATTCGCTTTCAAGTCAATTGAATTCAACTGACTTGATCAATTGGCTTGCCCTGTCTAAACCCAGCTTAAGAGAAACAAATAGTCCATAATTTCATACTTACATCTTGCCACGTTCTTTAAAAAATACCGAACAAAGGCCCTTTATTATGCTGCCATGATTTGCACCGCTCTGAGTGTACGTACCACTCTTTTGTTTACATGTGGACATCTCATAAGCTTTACGTGAAACGCACATAGACTCAGTGTTATGTGAAAATCACGTACATTCCATTGATTATGTAGGTGTGTTAAACAGGAACTCTCTGTGAAATCTAAGGGACATCACGTACATTCTACGTGCGCCACGTAAAACTGAGAGGCGAGGACAAAGTTGGAACTTACGTGATTTTTCACGTAGCTTCAACGTGTAGATTATTTTGAGTGTATTTCAGCGGTTTTCTCAGCTAGCTTCCACGTGTGCATGATGCTGATGCCACCACGAAAATGGGTTTGCTTTGGGTAATATGCTGCAAGACAAATGAGAGGCCGGTGAAGGTGGTAATTTCGATACGGATAGCATCGATGACTTTTGGTTGGATGCATTGGCGTCCGGTAACCTCACTTTTTACATGTGCACAAACTTTCAAAATCAGATTGAATGACATATTCATACTCGAATCGGTTGAAAAATACACTTAATCTTCTAGTTTGCTCGATATCTATCCATTGCATGCAATATTTTGATAATTGTTTATGTTTTGAGAGTTGGTGCACAGGTAGATTGAGGTTAACAAAACACCATTGGTTGGATGGATGATAGAAGTCTAAACTGGAAACCTTGTTGACAGTGATGACAATCCCAATTCTTCCGCTAAATAGAAGATTTTGAGCAGAGTGTGCGGTTCTTGAACTCGCTTTTCGATTGGAGAGCTAGAGCGAGCCAGATTCGAGTCACATGCTGTTATGTTGTGGTCGCCAGCGCACTTGCCTGTGGCAGCTTTTGGTGCCGTGTCCAAATCCAATTATTCTTCGCTGATTGAATTGAGTTAATTCTCGGCAGGCGCTCACAAATCATTTTTTTTTTTTTTTTTTTTTTTTCCTTTATTAGAGAGATTTTTAGCCTAAGGCTAGTTCATCTCTTATACTCACAAATCATTGTAACTAAACATTAATCGTACATTTCTTAACTTACTCCATTGCAGCGCGTCTACCGTGCCTTGTACGACTACGAAGCTCAGGATAGCGACGAGGTGGGCTTCACCGAGGGAGACCTGATCATCGAGGTCAATTCGATTGACTCCGGCTGGATGACCGGACGCGTCGAACGGACCGGACTTACGGGAATGCTGCCCGCCAACTATGTTGAACTGGTCAAGATATAGGAAGGAAGTCGTAGTCTCGTGCGCAAATAAAAAAGATCCCGTTCATGAAACTTACCATTAACCGACAGCCCAAACCGAGATTGAAGGTAAGTGTAAAGTTCTTGAAAATATGGCGCGGCAAGGAGAAGGGACACGGAACGAACGAAAATTACCAATCTTAGTTTTCTTGTCTAGTGTAAAAAGTAAAACATCTAATTTAAATTACTATTCAAGCTACTTTACGAGATACAATAGCGATGCGGCAAGATGCGATCAGAAACGAAGCATATGTTTTTAATTTTATTTTTGTTATTCATTTGATATTTGCGTTATTTTGCCCAAACATTTCCAAATGGAGAGTCATTCAGCAAATGGTGCTGATTCGAGCGTATAAGTATACAAAGCAGCTCGTAAGGCAATCTAGACTATCTTAGAGCCGACCTGATTTTTGTAGCATTTATTGAAACTGTAAACATTCGTAGTCTGTATTTGTATTCGTACGAATCAATAGAAAAGGAAGGTGAATCGATACGCGTATTTGATCTATAGGATATCCGGAACAGAAAACATTCGACTGTGTGTAAACTACAGAAGACTTAGTAGTACCGTGCCTTTGTTCAACAACAACTGAGAAACCCCTCTATCGGAGAAACAACTTTGGATGCAATTTTTTACAAACTAGTAAATAAGCAAATCGTTTTTTCTAGAAATCAAAATTATTCTATGATAATAAAAAATTGAGCTTCCGTTTGTTGTATACAGATTCTGTGATAGACGAATGTGTATTTGGGAATGAGCGCCCCTCTTTGTACCGGTTTCTTTCACACCAATTGGCGTAGGTAGCATTAACCAGGAATACATTCGGAGGACAGTTACGGTTCCGGTGTTTTAATTTTCAAGTCAATAAGTGTCATCCCCATTACAACAATAAAAGTGTTTTCCTTGTTACATAAGCAGCAACAAAATGAAAATAAAATAAAGAAAACTACGTGTTAAGTATACGTTCCACACATGCAAGTTTACTACGTACATTTACACAATTGAATATATTTTATGCTTCTATAAACAAATTAATTTATAACACAAATTCAAGTCAATAAACAACACATATACAAGTGCTACTGTTAGTATAAAGCAAATGAAATGTTATATAACACTAGTAATAGTGATGTATAGAGCAGAAAACGAGCAAAAATCAAATTATAAAGGCAACTGGAGCTGATCCTCTTGACTGGTGGAAATTATAGAGAAAGCCAATATTCTTGTAGTACCTTCGTGTTCATTCTAAGCACATCCACAGGTGATTTTTAAGAGTTCTTCAACCGTACCGGAAATCAAATCCGCCACGTCCAACATGGTATGCCGTCTTTACTGGGTAGGTTATCGGGAGGCCCCGAAACTATTGGATATCGTGAAGATGCTGAACTAACAATACGGAGGCGATGCTATAGATGCTGTTGAACCTACGCGAAGCTACAACTTAGAAGTTTGCTTCTGTGATTATCTTGGGGCTCCAGATGATTCATGGAAAGCAGTGCCACATCCTGGGAATAAATTTCCGCAAATTTCAAAAAAATTCACGTTTCCCAATTTTATTAATAAACCTACATTTTGTCTGAAAAACTATCAATAAATTAAAAGAAATTTCCAGTGTGCTGATGGTAACTTTTTGGAGAGGTAGGAAAGAACTTCCAGAGAAGCCAGAAAAAAATAAATCCGTACCCGAGCAGGAGAAAATAACTAATGAATACCTAATTCTGATCTGATACCAAAATTTGGTATTGACCAGCATGACACAAGAGGTAAAATACCAAAGAATAATACCAAAAAATTACATGCAAAATACTATGTAAATACCAAAAAATGATATTTGGATACCAAAAAAATACCTGGCTGGTATTTTTTTGGTATTGCATTATCAGAATTTGGAATTGTGGGAACATTTTTTTGGTATTATTTTTTGGTATTTTACCTCTTATGTCAGGCTCATCCATACCAATTTAAGGTATCGAGATATTCGTTCCTGCTCGGGTAAGGAGCTGGAAGAAAGTTTCAAGGTAAGCTAAACGATTCTGTCGGGAGAAAAACATCCAAAACGGAAAAATCAGTAGACCTCTGGGGGAACTCGGAAAGAGGAGAAATCATTAAAATTGTCCGGTGGCTGTCAGTAGAAACTTTCAGAGCATGTTTAAAATAACGGAGTAAACTTCCAGATGAAGTTGCAGGAATCTTCCGGTGGAAGTCAGAGGCATCTTACAGGAGAAGTCAGAAGAACATTCCAGTGGAAGTCGTAAAAAACATCCTAATAAAACTGGAACAAGCTTTCGCAAAAATATGGGAGAATGTTGAGAGGTAAACTCCAAGATTTCGAGACTAGTTTTAAGACACTTTCAGCGCAATACAGAAACAATTTTCAGGATAAGTTGAAAGAATCTCTCGGAGGAAGTTGAGAAAAGTCCGAGGGATGTCTGAAGATTCTTTCAAAAGCGAAATCAGAAAAACTTCCGCAGCTGGATGAAACTTCTTGAACAAGTTAAAAACAAAATATTCCAGAGAAGTAGGAAGAAACTTTTGGAGGGAATTCAAATACATCCTCCGGGGTAAATCAAAATTATATATAATATATTTAATACTTTTTGGATACTGTTTAGTTAAATCGAAGTTCATGATTTAAAACATTTAGGTCCCCATGCCTATTTTTTAATAGCTGTATCTTTGTACGCTGGCCATATTTAAAGTTTTTTTTTATATCTTTATTAAGGAGACTTTCAGCCCTGAGTATTTCCTTATCATTTCGGCCATACATTCATAATGCAAAAAGAAATTCAAGCTTAGGTTGTTGCACCATAGAGATCCAAACACAACGAGTGGCGGCACTTTAGCCATCACTACTTTAGGCTTAAAGTATTCCACAGCTTGAGCTTGAGCTTGAGCTTGATTGACCGCCCACGGTTGCTACTCTGTTACTGCCAGATCAGCTGTAATTACACAGAGAACCAATAGACGATGCTTGGGACTAGCAATCATCCTCAATGTGTAAAAACTGGTGATCTTAAATTAGGCAATACCAGCGCCGGCCGCGCCCGAACACAGGTCAAGAAAGGAATGGGAAGGATTGTGTTGACATGACACTCGCTTTGATGGAAGCCGAGAACACCTCTGCACTTCCACGAGGAATCACTGGGATGTTGGATAAGAGGGTTGGGTATGCAGCAGGGTTCGTTTTGGTAAACGATAAGCTGCATTGATGTCCTAACGATCATATAACGCGAAGGAGCTTGGGACTAAACCCACGGTCTCCTGCTCAGTAAGCAAAAACGTTTGCCACTAGGCAGACGAGCAACTTTTTAATCACCGAGTTGCTGTTATTACCATGTAGTCATATTAACAAATAAAACGATTGACGAATCTTGAATGTGGATGGGCCTGAGATTAGACTCATGATGTTCTGCTCAGTAAGCAAAAACGGTTGCTCTAAGGCCACCGAGCCCCTCATATCACATAATACCGTTGCTCAAATTTGTGTATCCATTTAAACCCGGAACCAACGACAACAACGAGTTTCGCAAAATACACGATACACAAGCGATTTTACCATAAATCTCTTTGATATGTAAGGACCTGGGACCGCGTTTTTCTGCTCAGTAAGCAGGCCACTGTAACCGACGATCTTTCAAATCCGAAAACTAAAAACTACGAAAAAGTACTTAGGCTTTCATTAAGTTCCACTTTCACGCGACGTTCAATGACAGGGTCCTATCCAGGATTACATCTGAAAAATCCAAATCTGGCCAACACCCACCTAAACCTGTTCTAATCCACCTGAAATGACTAACGAATGGAAGACTTTGACTACCCAGCCATGCAATAGTCTCATTCCGTGCCTTATGGCAACTTGATGATTCTATTGCGCTCATCTTTTGGCACCACCCAGGGGAGACTTGGTCCTGTACCCAATGCTTAACTTATCTCCATTCCACTCAGCTACTTGCAATTTCTTGTGATATAGTGGGCGGAATATTATTATATGAGACAATTCAATGCAGACGTCTTTCCAAATTTGGCAGATCGACAGGTAATCGGTGAGTTACCACGATAGTTGCTATTCAACAACTCGACAACGTCCCATCGTCAACGCCTGCTATGAGAATTTCCCATTGCAGACGCCAACGAAATAACGTCATCGAGCTATCGATCAACTACCCTGGTTATCGCCTGGTACCTTATAGCACGATGCTAGGAGGCGAACCGGAAGAATCGATGAGCTACCTCTCCCCCATTTAGGCTTAAAGTATTCCACAGTGTAATAAACAATAAAAATGTCATCGATATTTTATACAATAGGATTGAACGAAAGTTATCCATAGCAAATATTGTTCAAATTGATACACATTCTGTACATATGAAAAGTGTAAAAGTAAACCAACTCAACCCTAAAACGCAGCGCCAGTGATGGAAAACAATGAAATCTGGTCCAAACTCCCCTACTTACTTTTACTGTTGCTGGTCCAACGTCCTTCAAAATTTGACTTGCTTTACAATATTACGTCAACTAACTCGGTTCATTGCTGTTTTTCTCAAGTTTCTTGAGCGTCCCACGCATCCTAGATCTTGCACCACTTGGTCTAACGAGCTAGCTCGCTGAGCTTCTCTGCGTCTTGACTACACAGTTCGAAAAAGTAGTGTTAATTTCTGTTCAATATGATGCACATAAATGGAGCGTCACATATCATATACGTTTACATTGTATTATCATGTAAAGTTCTGACACATTTCATGCAATGTAGAAAATATTGTATACAAAAGCCCATCTTTGTAAACAACATTGTTTGCAAGTTGCTCGGTTGTTTGCAAGTTGCTCGGTTCAGTGTTCACTCGGCTGTCGACAGAAGCAGACCACTCTCAATGTGTGTCACGGGATCGTCTGTTTACTCGACAGCTACCATTGTGTGGTCCTCCTCATTACAGACGGTATAGTAAACACAGACCGGCGGAAAGAAATTCCGTAAAAATGGCAGCACGGTTATTTTTACATTATTTTTCCTATTGTCTAGCAACACTTGCAAATTCTTACACATAGAATGACTCGTATTCAGTGCAGCAAGCTGTTATGTAAAAAAGCTTCAATTTTGGTTTGAAAATGAATTGTTTATATAAAGGTTGCATGAATAATTCCCACTATGGCATAATTTTTTTTGGGTTTTTCCGATTCCCCGCGAAGAATGGCATTCTGAACCAATAAAAACTGTTTTGCGGACTGCCGGAAGATTTTCGAATAGTCGGAAGTAACCGACTTTGTAGCGTAAGTAAACTTATTTTTCACAAGTGAAGACCTAACAACAAAGCTTTTCAAACCGATGTTAGTTGCACTTTGGCGAGGAGCATGTGTATTTGGGCTGTGGAGGAAAAATCAGAAAAGTTTCCGGGCGATTCCCTGCTACTCAGATGTCCAGCAAATTTCTCATCTAAAACGCACTGATCGTAGTATAGAGGATGACGTTGATGATATTGAGAACATACATCCAAGACCACAAACCTCGACAGCATCAAGTATGCAGTATCAAGATAGTGCCGATTTTGTTTATTATTCTCAATCCGTTAATGATACAAGTGCAATCAAATCTCCCGGAGAATCTTGAATGTAACCAATTTATCTGGAACAGAACCCAGAGTCAACAGTGTCAAAAATAAAGTTCTGTGAGATCAAATAGTGATTATTTTGTGTGTTAGATCAATGTGAATCTATTGCGTACTTCGCATGATCGCATTTTAACTTAATAAAAAGTGTGATAAAAGTGCTCGTTTACTTCTCATGTTATTGGTGTCTTCGGTGCGCTTATTTCTTGCATTATAAAGAATAAGTGCACCCAAGACACCAAGAAGATTAAACGTTTTTTAATCATTAAAAACATAATACAAACGAAAAACCATGTTCGGGATTACAATACTCTCCACACATTATTCGTTTGTCCGTTTAGCTCAACATTTTGACAGTTCGTTTGGCTCCGCTAGATTCGTATCCGCCGGTCTGTGTTTACTATACCGTCTGTACTCCTCATTGTTCTTCATCAGCAGTTCTTTCAGTCGATGCGTCGTCGACTTTGGAAAGCAACCGTTTCGTGATGAATGTGTGAGTACTGACCACATTTTGCGTCCATTGCTGCAATGGAAGCGTTCGGACCCTCGTTGGCGAATCTGCCATAGACAGCGAATCCAA